ACCTAATGCAATGATAGAAACAATTGTTCTTCCGACCAATTAAAAACTGCGTTCGATAGACTCTGCTTACTTCATATGCAAACAAATTCCTCACATTTTCTCGTGAAAGAATGGGAGCTTCGTAGATTTTTTAGACAAATCCAATGAAATAGGTAATATGTATTGTGAGACAGGGACAAATTTAGTACTGTATATGGCAAAAAGTGATAGGAATTGATAAGGACTGGCAGGGCGCTAGAACTCAGGTGTCACGAAATTCATAGCAAGATGCTCACCAGCAATTAGTCGTTGGCTCCAAAAAGTATGCTAGAGGGTGAGACGGGAGTATACTTGTTTGGAACACGGAGCGTGATATCAAATAATAAGGACTAATGAGAACGATTGGCTCGAAAACAGAGCAGTCACTGAGGTTGTTATCAAGATGCGCCATGAAAAAACCATTCCATTTGATATGCGATGTCATCCACACCGTAGAGGCCCATTCAGGCGCTAATATGCCTGATTTACTCAGGGTGCCCGGTGTTTGTGGAAATACGGTACGTACTGATGCTTCTGTTTCAATGACAACGGCATAAGGAGTTAATCAACCGCTAAAGCTTCCCAGCATAAGAAGCATGGTAATTATTTACGCTAATGGCTCATCATTTTGGTATGCTAAAAATGATGGATGTTTATTGGTATTGACGAGTTACGGGAAAAACTGCTTTGTAGCTTTATAGAAACCTTTCAATAACATCAGTGAACCAATGGAAGTATGCTGCGTAATACAAGAGCTCAGCTATGCTCAGTTCCACTAAAGCCTACCTTGATATGCGTGGTAGTGAGTGGAGCAGAGCCAAACTAGCAAGCAATACGTGATGTTCCGTTCGATTCAAGTGAAGAGAACTGCATGACTCCCTGTCGGACACAGTGATTCTCAGGTGCTCTGATTGCATTAGCTTTGCGCATCTTTTGCTGAATGTGCTCGTCAGGTGTTATTCATGGCAACGACTCAGTTGATTTTACCAAAAGAATCCCAGTTGGCCTTCTTCCGAAAATGCAAATTTGAGGGTGATCATATAACGATGATACCTATCGTATAGATATGAGGGGTGAGGCGATAGCGCTTTACAATCCAACACGGCCACGAAGCCTACACGCGATTCGTCCATGTGTAGTGAGTTCGGGACTATCGTCATCGATAGCTCCGCTATACTTTCTGCTTCCAATTCAATGAAGGCGGCTCATTTAATGTGAAGAAAGTTACAAGTACAAGGCAAAGACAAAAACACAACAAGCCAACAATGAACTCCATATTAGAATCGTCTCAAATCGATAGTAGCCGCTTTCACAGTGGTCGATTTGTTCACAGAACTCTGAAATTTACTATTATCTTCACATCACTTTTGCAAAAGGTTGAAATTTTCAGGAGAATCATCGCAGGTTCTTTTTTTACGTGTTGGAATCTTTGCGCTTTTCCAAGAGGTGAATTAGTCCGATCATTAAAAACTGCCAACATCCCATATATAATTCCTTTTTCGCGAATATCACTCTGCCGGAACGTAGTGTTCTATTCAGACTCATTCGCTTGGTTG